GGTATTATTTATTAGTATTTATTTGGTATTTATAGTTAATAGTATTAGTAGCGTTCGCATTCAGAAATATTTCTTAGCAGCACTATTTCAAGTATTATTTTTCCGAATGCTTTAAGAATATTAACAATTCTATAATAAAAAACTATAATTATTAGGCTCGCCTAGCTAATAAGTAATAGTTAAATGAGGCTCCCAAATGCCTTTGGATTGAAGGTTTCATATAAACTACTCTCTATGTATCAAGTAGTATCGACTATTGCTATGGCTTACCTTGACATCTGCATCTGCCCTTTTACCTACAGACAGCCGTGATGAAGGACTGATAATCTAAATTTTCCCACTACGCTATCAGTAGGCCGCATGATGTCACTGAATTTCACTTATCCTTGCCTCCCAAAGGAATTGCATTTTAGACCTTGCCTAGGTCGCTTCAGCAGCTCCGGCGGGAATCGGATCCAGGCTCTTGCTTTCGACTTTCTGCCATCATGTCACAACGTCATGGGTGTCAATGACTAGGAGGGCAGACGTGGCTTTCAAGGCAGTTCATGCTTTTCCCATATCACATTGGAAGTGGGAAATTTGTATTTTACCATTACCATTGACTAATTAACTTATATGCATAGTAAGTAGGCCTCGAGACTGTCGATAGATCTTGAATAAAAATTCTCTGTCTATTGGTTAAATGCAAACTGGGCTGGCTAAAGGTGTTTTTTATCATTTAATTCTAAAATTGCCCGCATACCTTTGCAAGTGTGCATTAGCGAGGTTTATTCTCTCCCTTCTAGACCCGGATAAACTGTCTCAATTCGCCCGGCACTGGATCGCCGGACTCGTGTATCACATGCCCGCCATTTTGGCCCTTTGCTCGCCCACGGTAAACTGTTATCGTCGCCTCCATCGACACCTGGCGCCCGACTACGCCAACTGGGACATTGACGACAGATTCACGTCTCTTCGCGTCAAGAATAACGGGGCGTCCGGTACGTACATGGAGAACCGGATTCCCTCCTCGGCCGCCAGTCCGTACCACGTGATGGCGGCCACTCTGGCGGCCGGTATGGACGGCGTCGAGCGAAAGCTGAGGCCGCCGCGGGCCGGACTGAAGCCGTTGAAGCCGCCGTACGTGGCCGGGGCGCCGTCATGGATCCCACCGGCCGACATGACTCGTGAGGAGGTGATGGGACTGCGTAAACTGCCTTACACACTGACCGAGGCGCTGGCCCAGCTGCAGGCGGACAGTGTGATCATCAACCTGTTGGGCGCAGAGTTCATCAGTTGGTTCGTGCAGGTCAAGCAACGAGGCGACCTGTACACCCTTCGTGAAAGCAACCTTGACGACGAGACCGATGAGGAGTTGGCTGCTGAGCGTTTTGAGTACTTGGAGTACATATAACGACTCACTTTTGAGCAACTTCGCTTGCATCATGCAACGGTTGTCCTCTTGGTTGTTTGAAGATGTTCACCAGGACAACGGGCTCGTCTACGCAAACTTTGGTCGAATAAGTCTTGTCCCGAACAGACACTTCTGTCGTTCCCCACACAATCTCTCAACCTTCATTGTTGCATGCAATTGTCCTTATTTTTGCACGATTATTCGCATACACAAGTAGGCCGAAAAGAGCGAACCAACACACAAGAGCATTCTCTTCTTCTAGAAGGACATAGTTCATTTTATTCCATTTACAGATCACGTTTAGGAGAAGCCATTTTCTGTCCAATCATAGGCGTTGACGTCAGCCCCTTTTGGGGGTTAGTCGAGCAATGCGTTTCGCCATTTTGTCTGTGTAATAAAGAATGTTCATCGTCTCCCCCAGCCCGAGCATAGCCCCCAATCACTATCAGTGTAGCATACCCTCTTCATTACAGTCATCCACTTTAGAATGAGGCTCCATCTGGTCTATCCAAGCGGTGGATTAATGGCGCTGTTTGATAAGCTCACAAATTGTGCGTGTTGGAAACCGGTTGGGAGCAAGAGTAAGGCATGCCAAAATAAGAATACCCACATTTGCTTCTTTCAATATGTCCGTTTCCCTAGCATAAACGACGGCTCCACTTGTTAACCTTTTTCACAATCCAATGAGTTCAGGCTCTAGCTGGAAATCGCAGCTTTCCATTGGTTGGTTGGTGAGACGTAATATCTCGTACACTCCCTTCTATCTGGACGCTATAAAGCCTGAAGGCCAATATGAACTTTTTTATATTCTCTTGATTTATACTTGATTTAAACGGATGCGTACTCATGTGAATGATTCATTTGCTTTTTAAAATAAAATTGTGAGATGTTCATCGTCAGTCTTTTGATGACGAATCTGGTTGCCAAGACGAGCCAGTCATATATCGATAAGAAGGGGATATAATAATAAAATGATAATAAATAATAATAAATAATA